GGTACAAACTTTCTCGAAAACATCTCTGAAAACTAAACCCATGTAAATGAAACTTTATCTGCCGGGCTATCCAACTCGTATGCCTGCCACCACTGATAAGCCGCTCCCTTAAGCTGGAACGTGGTAAAAGCAACCCCACTAATATCCACAATACCCATAGTGCGGAGAATGCGATGGCACTCCTATAAAAAGCCCTGTGCACTCTCTGAAGCCAAACCACTAAATGTAGGAGGGTCATATTTCTTGAACCTTGCAAGTCTAAGCTGCTCTTCCTCAGATGCTGATGCCCTAACCACGGGCTGAACTGGAACCACAGGCTGTGTCGCCATGACACCTAGAACCTGACCAATGTGAACTCGCTGCTCTGGAGTGTGGGCGACGGGAGTTTGCGCTCCTCCGCCAGTCCGTGAAGTAGCTGGTGCAACCTGAATCAACCCAGCTTGAGCCAATGTACCAAACATGCTCAAAAACTATGCTAAGGTCTCCTGAAGTTCGGGGCGCCTCCTGTACCTGCCCCCAACTGGAGCTATTGGCAGCTCCTCAACTGCTGCTCTGGTAGGCGCTCTAGCTGCAGCACGTGCTCCTCGTCGGCCTCTGCCTCTTCCTCTAGCGACACCTACTCCGGGAGAAGCATCGTCGGTAGCTGCAGCTCGTGTCCTCACCTTCTATGAGAGAATGAAACGATAAAAGTTCAAACTTCAAGATTAATGAACTCGCACGATATGAATGAAATAAGTGAGATTGTCCTAATAGTTCCGTAGCCTCTCGAAGATAAGTACAGACGTCTCAGTACCGATTCGCAAGACTCTACTAAACTCTCTTATGACTCATAGCACCTGGAACCTAGAGCTCTGATACCAACTTGTCACGACCCAATTTCCCCTCTGTTGGTTATCGTGATGGAACCTAGTCTTAGGGACTAGGTAAGCCTAACATTTACTAAATAAAAACAATAATACAGAAAATCTAACAGTCTCGATATAGAAATCTTTACAAAATTTACAATTTCCCAAAACCGGTAGTACAAGTCATAAGCTCTACAGATTTACTACAACTTCTAAATACAACTATTTGGAAATAAGTAAAAACATTGTGAATAAAAAATAAGAAGGTGACTCCGAAGCCTGCGAATGTAGCAGCGGGTTTACCTTGAGGCTCCTCAACAAGAATCCGCACAACTACTAAACGATCAAATACCTGGATCTATACAAAAAATGTACAGAAGTGTAGTATGAGCACACCACAGCGGTGCCCAGTAAGTGTCAAGACTAACTTCGGCGTAGTAGTGACGAGGAACAGTCAAGACACCTACTGGTTTAATAAACTGAACAAGTATAAGTATAGGAACAACAGTGTACGATTTCTACACCAAGGTAGTAACCTCGTGCATGGCTGATATAACAGTTACAACACGGCAAAAACCTCGTGCAACCCCATAACAATAGGTACAATAGCAAAAATGACAATAATACAAGGTACGACAAGTAAATAAACTCAGGAACTTTAAATCACAAAGAAACAGTAGAACCAGTTCACAAGAATAACCATAGTAAAGAATGCTTGGCCTAAAGAGAACAACTTAACAAGGGAAAACTAATATGTAGCAACGACCCACAATAAACAATTCAACAATAAGGAAACTAACACGAGTCATATAGTTCCAAATAAGGACCAGTCAACTAAGATATAGGATATCTAAACCTCTTTTAAGGTTGAGAAATTACGAGGATATTCAACAATTCAATTAAGGATAAGCAGCGAAAAGATAATCATAACCTCAATTAAAATTAAACAATTATAGGATGAGATGATGATAATTTCAAATAAAGATAAGCAATTATGAAAAGATAGCATGACAACAGAAGAGGTAAAATCTTCAGTTAAGTCAAGTAAGAGTCAAATAGGCAATAAGAGTGAATCCTAAAGCAATTAATTCCGATTTAAGTATGTAGAGGAGAAACTAGTAGATAGGAACACAGTCATACCAAGAATAACATCCTACACAGTGAATATAAGGACCTAAGAATCCTAAAAGGCCAATTTTCCACAAATAAGCCTGAGTACGCACTCGTCACCTCGCGTACACGGACTACATTCAACATGGAAGACTCAAATCCTAAGGGGAAATCCCCCGCACAAGGTTAGGTAAGATACTTACCTCAAAGAAGACAAACCGATACTCTAAAATGAACTTCTCGGGTGAAAAGACCTCTGGACGGCTCAAATCTAACCAAAATAACTTCAAAGCACAAATAAAACTCATAAGAAAGTATTCCGGATCATAAAGTCTCAATCTTTATCAAAATCTAAAAAATCGGTCCAAAAGTTGACCCCCTGGGCCCGTACCTCGAAACCTAACAAATTTCACAAAATCCGAACACCCATTCCAATATGAGTTCAACCATACTAAAATTGTCAGTTTTCGGTACCATTTCGTCCCTCAAATCATGATTTTTCATTTTGAAAACTTTCTTCAAATTAAAAACCACCATTTTCCTCAACTCAAAACATAAATTAAAAGATAAAAATAAAGATAAAATCACGGAATATATTAAATTCTAGGTGAAGGATACTTACCTAATCGATTTTCTTGAAAACCCCAAAAAGAAGCTCCCAACGCCGAAGTCCAAAACTCAAAATATGATGAAAATGGCCAAACCCTCGACTTAAATATTTCTGCCAGAACTTCCGCATCTGCAGAACCGCAATTGCGAGAAAGAGTCTGCATCTGGGAACTCAGCTAACCAGGCCTCGGACCGTATCTGTGGATTTTCAGCTGCACCAGCAGCACAACAGAAGCAAAAGGGGAAGCCGTAGAAGCAAGATTCTTCGCAGGTGCGATCGGTGGACCGCAAAAGTGGCCTTCGCACCTGCGTGCCAGCCTCCGCAGAAGCGAGCAAGCTCCCAGGACTTCATGACGTAGAACCGGCCAGGCTCACACAGAAGAAGAGCCACACCTGCGCTCCAAAGTGTCACAGGTGCGAGAACACTAGAACCAGACTTGTTCAAAACTATGAAAAACATCCGAAACTCGTTCAAAACATGCCCGGGGCCCCAGGGACACCATCCAATCATACCAACAAGTTACATACCCTAATACGGACTCGCTCAAGGTCTCAAATCGCATCAAACAACACCGAAACTACGGACCACACCAAGAATCGAACTTATGAATTCTCAAATCTTCGAACTTCTAAAACTCGTGCCGAACCCTATCAAATCAACCCGGAATGACGCCAAATTTTGCAGACAAGTCCTAAATGACATAACGGAGCTGTTCAAACTCTCGGGATCGCATTCCGATCTCGATGTCACAAAAGTCAACTCTTGGTCAAACTTCTCCATTTTCCAAACTTCAACTTTTTCAACTTTTGCCGAAATGCTCCAAATTACCCTACGGACCTCCAATTCCAAATCCGAACACACACCTAAATTGGAAATCACCATACAAAGCTGTTGAGATCGTCCAAAACCCATTCCGGAGCCGTTTACACAAAAGTCAAATTTCGGTCAAATTCTTATCGCTTAAGCTTCCAAAACTAGAATCCTTCTTCCAATTCGGCTCCAAATCATTCGATAACTGAATTCAACCATGCATGCAGGTCGATACACATAATATGAAGTTGTTCAAGACCTTATGCCGCCGAACGGAGGTTAAATTCTTGAAATAACAAGCCGGATCGTTACATATTGGGGTGAAGCGGCATGGCCGCTTGAATAGAGTTTGTGGTATTGGGATTGCACCTCCACTAGCATACATTGGTGTGAGGTGGCGGGGCCGCTTTATGTAAAGGTGGTTACAGAGGATATCGACTTAAAAATTTATGAATGTTTCGAAAGCTCTTGATAAATTTGTTTTGGATTTAATGACTATCTATGCCATTCTATTGTTACCATGATCCATCATATTCATGTTGTATTTCCAAGTCCTTGATTTGATGATTGGTTTTCATACTAGTACTATTCGACATGTACTAATGTCCCTTTTGCCGGGGCCGCTACATCTTTAATGGATGCAGATGGTTCCACAACGGAGGGTATTGACCAATGATAGCGGTACTCGTTCTTCCCAGTAGACTTGGTGAGCCCCATATCATTCTGGGGTTGTGCATCTGTTGTTTCGTGTGTATTACTATGTTTTGAGGTATAGCGGTAGCCTTGTTTCCGGCACTATCGTTGTACTCTTTTGTATCCATTAGAGGCTTCGTAGACATAGTGTGGGCTATGTAGTGGTGTTGGGGAAAGTTAAACTAAAAATGTCGCAATTGTATCACATGCTTCCACTGTTAAACCATGGTTGTGAAATGTATTGTATTTTGGGGACTTTTAATGGAGTAACTAATGGTTATGGAATTAGTGTTGTTCATGAATTCTTTTAGTGTCAATTAATGAGACTTATCTCCTCTTCTTTGTTCGCATGTGAGTTTTGGGTAGAAGGTATTGTGTAGTCTTGCTCGGCCAGGTTAACTCGGTTGAGCACCGGTCGCTCTCCCCGAGGTTGGGGCGTGACACTTGTGGGTCACATATAAGGTTTGAAAAATATTACCTCTCTCTCATTTCCCAATTTCTCTCATCTCTCTATTGTCTTTGATCTCTGTTCTCTCTGTCACTCAACCCCATCGACCAAGGTGGTTTCTGGCGGGAAGGGACAAGAATCAAGCTTCAATTTTGGTAAATCCAATATTTTTATTTTTCCGTTTCTTACAATTTTTATTTTAGGTTTTTAGAGTGATTCGTTCATGTGCATGTTCAAGATTGATTGGGTTGTGTATAACCATATCTTATATGGTGTGGGTGGTTATATTTGCTTCTTGGACTATCTATGTGCTCTGTATTTTAGAATTTCGTCGTAACTGGTGACCTAATGTTTATTGATAAACCTGAGGTCGATTGTTTTCTGGTCATAGATGTTTGTTGGAATTAGGGCTTATTTTTCTTATTCTGATCATAAGTTTGAATTTATTAAATGTCACATTGCATATTTGCATGTGGATAATATGATGAGGAAATCAATTTCTAAGAAGTATATTCCTTTGACAAAGCCTTCACAATCTTCACAGCCTTCAAAGCCTTCAAACAGGAAAGGAAATGCAGAAAAAGAAGCATCGCCAAGTAAACCAATTACTGAGCCTTCAAAAATTGCTACTAGAAAACGAATGTAGATACTTATAAAGCTTCTCCTAGTAAAGGAAATGCTGAGATTTCTAAGCGTGATAGGAGGAAAAAGAACAAAGAGCCATCAAAGTCTATTGGTAAAAGAAAAAAGTACAAGATCAAGGTCTAGATTAGTTGACGAGGATATACCTGTTAGTAAAAAAATTGTTTCAAAGAAGATAGCACTAGAGGGTGTTGGTGAGGAGGAGGAAGAAGACTTGGACATAAGTGCAACACAAACTCAAATGGAAGAACAAGTTTAAGAAAAAATAATTATCGAAGAAGAAAATGACAGTGATGATGAAGCTTTAGGTGTGAAGGATGATGAAAATGGTGATGATGCTGCTCAAGAGGTTGATAAAGATGCTGAAGAAGATGTAGCAGAAGAAGAAGAAGATGATGATAAAGATGATGAACAACTTGAAGATGGTGAAGGTGGAATGGAAAGTGAAACACATACACCAGTTGAAGGTGACCACGATGCTCTGTCAATTCCTGTGTTTGTAAGGGCGATCGACGCATCCAAATACAAATTCTGGACTTTTCTAAGAAAGCATAGATGTTTTCCGGACAAGATAAGTGTGAGGTCTAGGATAAATATATTCAGTGAGTTCAACGATAAACTTAGAACAATCAAATTGATGGAAAAGTTTATAGTAGTTGTTTTGGATAGTTTGCAAAACTTTTAGAGCACTAGACACAGTTCAATGTAGAGCTTGTCCATTCCCTGCTAACTCGCCAAATTTATTGCGCAAAGAAACGCAAGTTGTGATTTTTAGTTGGAGACAAGCCTGTTCACTTTGGATTGAAGGAGTTTGCTATGATGACTGTATTGAACTGTGGTGGCAAACCTAGTAAAGAAGCTATGAAGAAAGTGATGGATGATGACCAAGCATTCCGCAACAAAGTTTGCCAATCTAGCAGGAAGGGGTGGATGCAGAGCTGTTTTTGAAACATTTGAAGTCCAAGAGGTTTGACACAGTCGAGATGTTTAATATTGCGTTGGTTTGGTTTGTCCATTCAATCTTGCTTGCAAGGGAAAACATAGCGCGCGTCGATAAGAAGTGGAGTCGTATGGCTAACAATCTGGAAGATTTCATGAAATATCCATGGGGAAAGGAGTGTTTTGAGCTTACAATTGAGTACTTAAAGAATGACATGTTGCCAATGTACAAATCATATGTGAGCAAGAGGAAGAAAAACAATATCTCTGGTAAAAAGTCCAAATCGGCTAGTTATGCCCTATACGACCTCCCATGGGCATTCATGGTAAGTATTAAAGAAACCTTCTCAAAATTTCTTTGCAATTGAACACTATTATTTTGTTTACTACAGACAGAAATTAATACTTTTTGGTTCATGAAAAAATGTAGGCATGGGCGTACGAAGCAATTCCACTATTTGGTCGTAGTGCCAAGAAATCAAAGGTCGTACCGATGTCGCTGCCAAGCATGTTGAGATGGCACAGCAAGAAAGTGACATCTGACCTTGATTGGGATCCCTTTATGCAAAGAGTTGATGCCCCTACTGTGGTAATATAGGGAGTGCAATAACACTCCACTAGTAGATTATAATCAACCAAAGTAGGAGATTAACATAGACCTCGTGTCTATTGTTTTGTATTGCATGTCTATTTACTTCTATGTATGCTATATTTCAGGAGGTGCGCCCTTACCTTATTCCTACCATACGCGAGATGATATGGACTATATGAAAAATTTGGTACCATATGACGATGAGGTAGCGGATCCTATAATTGACTAGCTAGCGGTTGATTTGGAATGGGTGACTGCCATTAAAAAGGCACCTAGTGCAGTGAGCTTAGAGGCTAATATGAAGCTGACATTGCTGACGATGACCCTTTGGGTGGGAGTATTCCTGGTTTGTCACTAGTTGGTGGTTTTTCTGATATTGGTAGAGGAAAACCATGCAGGATGTGCAATGCTCAGCTAAGTGATACAGACGTGCGCGAAGAGTTGAATGTTATGAATGAAAAACTGGATAAGGTGTAAAATATCCTTGGGGTTATGCAAAATCAGAATGAGATCCCTTCTAAAGTAGTTGAGTCACCTTGGTATAGAGTTACAAGATTGCAAAACAGATTGGGGAGTGCTCTAATTTCTACCAGCAAGATGAGGAAGTTGAAATAGAGCAAGAAGAAGAAACCAAATGTAGACGTACTCAAACTAGTTTCAGAGGAAGATAAGAAACTATTGTATGAATGGTTTGACAAGAAAGAGAAGTTTCCAAAAAACTTGTTGACTGGAAGCTATGGTTGGAGGTTTTTTGAGCAGTTGTGCGGTGTTAACCCGTCCCTTTTAATTTTTGTAAGTCCCTTAATCGCTGTTTGTATTTCTCCTTTTTAGTAGCTCTATTTTAACGTACAATTTTTTATAATATTTAGCATGTGGAGGAACTTTTGGCACTGATGCATGTACGAAACATAAAGCGTCCACGCCTTTATGCTTGTAGTCATGTTGTTATGGATGTTGCATTATGCAACAACATGTGCACTGCATGAGATAAGATCAAGGAGGCTGTCAGTAAAGAGGGAAAGGATTCGGGCTTTTGTGAGACAGTTGATGCTTGTCAAGACTTGTGCCTTACACCCCTGATGCTATATCCGCAAGGAAGTATGCCAATGCCTGGGGCTGTGGAGTGGTGCAAGGCTAAGCTGTTGTACTATGTGTGGAAAATTGATAACAAGTATTTTGTGACTGTTGTTTTCCCCTTGGAAAAAGGCTTGGTTCGAATTTACGATAGCAATGTCAGTTTGTATGATGATGGTAAACTAGAAGAACTGGTACAACCCCTCGCACTCATGATGCCTAGGATTTTGATGAAAACTGGCTAGCTTGCAGACTTAGGCCAAGATGTGCTTACGAAGAACTGGTCATGGAAGCGTTTATGGATGTGCCAGCCATTCAACAAAGGTAAATTAAATTTGCCATCAATTATGTTTTACTCATTCTTCTAATTTCTTTAATAATTAATTATGTGTTTGATTATTGTAGCGAAAGGAGTAGAGCATATGCAGTGAAGGTTATTGACTTCCTGCTAACTGATACGCCACTAGATCAGCTTAATAACAAGCGAATGGAGTTATTCAGGAAAAAATTTACAGTTGATATTTTCAGGGGGAAGGATGGACCCCTTTTAGTTTTATAATTGTAATTTCAATTTATGTTGGTCATGCGACAAATTCATTTTGGGTGAACTTATAGTAATTTATGATATATGCATCTACCTCTATGTAATGAAACTACCTTACTATTTATTAACTGTTGATGCTGTAATTTTTGTTTCCTTAGCACTTCCCTATTGTATTACAACATGCAGCTACTTGGTTGCGTAATAGACAATGTGTCTAGTAATAAACTAGCTACTTGGTTGCGTAGTAGACAATGTTTCAAGTACTAATAACTTCATCAAATATAATATTGCATCGGTATAACCCAAAGGTTGCGTAATAGATATTGGGTCCATCAATAAACTAGCTACTTAGTTGCGTAATAGACTCAAGGTCGCATTTAATAACTTCAACAAATTTAACATTACATCAGTACAATATTACATGATCCAAAATACTTTCAACAAAATAAACTTACAATAATTAAACTATTTGTTCCAACAACAAACCGATGCTCTCCTTCTCACTTCATCATCCAAGCTGCCACAAATCCGATAACGACGCACAAGAGCATTACCCACTTATTGAGCCTCATTTCATTTTTCTTAACCATCCCTCCAACTGTACAATTTACAGGAATATGTCCTTCCTCTAGTTCAATCTCTCCATCATTATCATCTTCCTCATGAAGCATTTCTAATATATTTTCAAGTTCAGCCACCTTCATCTGCAGAACAATATTTTCATGCTTAAGAGCGACCTTTTCACACTTCAAACTACTGATAAGGTCAGCAATCCTTGGATCTAGCAGATCATCGTCCCATTCCCAAAATTGACATCTTTTACCCTATTGAATCAAATTGAAAAAATAATTTATTTGTAAAATTAAATCCCTAAAATTAAAAAGAGGCGAATCGGTGGAATTCATCTTACCTTAGTTTTGGAACATTTTGAGAAACGTAGACCAACATTCACCGAAGTTGTACCTATAAATTGACTGGCAGCCATGATGCTATGATAATTCTTTCTCGACACAGAGGATGCACTCGACCCTTGACTCATTTTCCTTCAAGTTTTTGAGTAATATTTTTCGAAAGTAAAAATTGGAGTTGAAATGTGATCAATTTTATTTTGAGATGGCATGTGAAATGGGTAATTTAAAATGGATCAAATGGGTTAACTTGAGCGGGTCAAAAAAATATGATTGAAATGTGATTTAATTTTATTTTGATCACATGGCGGGTCAAATGGTTAATTTTAAATGGTTCAAATGGGTAATATCAATGGGTAAAATAAATGTATGGTTAGGTATAGGCCACGTGGACATATTTTAATTTACTAAACAACACGAGCTGTCTTCATCAACCACTTGTCACTGATAAACTTCTATAATAGTCTATAACCCCTGAACCCTAACCCCAACCCTGAGCCACAACCCTGGACATTCAACATAAATCAATAAACTTCCTTAATGGGCGAGTTTCAACTTGAGGTTTGTCCTCAACTCTCATTGCGGTCAAGGGTAACAAATGGTCGAGAATTCACTAAAATAAGGATTACACCACATTCGACCTTGGTTTTTTGGATTTTATAACGTTTAAACATCTTATTAAATATCATGGATTATTTAAATTTATTATACATGGCATTGTAATTTATACCATTAAGAGTTGGTCATTCTAGAACATGTAACAACTCAAGAAATGAGGCCTCTAAGTATAATAGTGTTGTCTAGTGAAGTGTTGTGAACAAGTAATGCCTCTAAGTATGGATGTTGTATATTGAATATTGGGCTGTAATATTGATAGGTTACAAGTACTTTGGTCATAAGTACTTCGCTTAATGTTTTTATGATCTAACAAACTTACTATCCCGAACTAGATAAGGAACCTGTTACACATTTACAAGACCTTAAGATCACAAGGTTCCATGTTGGGATCCAACTTGCGTGATGATTCAACTCTTCAGAGTGAAAGGAACAGCTGAGGGAACAGGTCCTTACCAGTTCGCGAGGAGACTGTGTGAAGTCAACTCTCCAGTTGGAAAGTTGCTGCCTGCAGATGCTACAGTGCAGGAATAGTGAAGCAGTCAACTTTCCAGAGAAGACTTTTTACCTACCTTGCTTACATCATTGTAAGTGATGTCACACATATATATATACAATCATGGGAGGTAAAATACATTCTCACTTGAACATTTGACAAACTCACTCACGTGACCATTGAGCAAGCAAGTTTCAAGTGCTTCAAGGACAAAGACAAAGCAACTATGGACCAGTTCCCACATCGAGTCATTGTATGTCCTTAGTTGAGTTGTAACTTTATAATAGTTCTTCAATTATAATTCCTATCTAGCTTGTTTAGAAGCATTCTATAGGAACCCCTTTGTAAACCTTAAACCAGTGTATTTGAGTCTTGGCTAGAATTAGTCATGTTGTAAAGTCTTTGTAATAGAGTTATTACAAAGTGGCTTGTAATAGGTATGTTACAAGTTAGTGAGGGATTAAGAGGTTAATTCCTAAAATACATAGGTTGTAATCTAAAAAGTTGCTCAGTAGTGAAGTTAAAATCTTACAAAGGTAGGTCGTGGTTTTTAATCCCGTTGAGCTGGGAATTTTCCACGCAAAATTCTTCTTGCATTTAATTACTGTTGTGTGTGTGTATTGATTGAATATGATAGAGAACCTGGTTCTCTAGAGAGTTTGGTGGACCCTTACATTCTATCAATTGGTATCAGAGCGGGTTCTTTTTATCAGGTTAACACCTAGAAAGGATCCTCATTGCTGCTCCTCCAAACTTCGAAGAAGGCCAGTCTACTTACAG